ACAAAGAAAGACAACAGTAACAAGCATTAAAAATACTACATTTACATAGATTAAGAACAGGTACATTTACAAAGACTAAGATATGCCACATTTACAAAGACTAAGAAAGGCCACATTTACAAAGACTTAGAAAGGCCACATTTACAAAGACTTGGAAAGGCCACATTTACAAAGACTTGGAAAGGCCTAATTTACAAAGACTAAGAAATATCACATTTACAACGACAAAGAAAGGTCACATTTACAACGAACGATTTTGGTGCAGCACTATGCTACCTTCAGTTGTTTGCGCGATAGTGAGATCACAACGGATTCGCAAAAGTGGTTTAGAACCTTCATTGGTAAAATTTGCCTGCCATTTTCCAGACATCATTTTGTCCATGACCTCCTGCAGTACACTATCCTTCCTTGTTTCCCTCGCTATCTCTTCCAATGTCATCGCCTTTGGTACTGCATGCCTCACTATGAAATTTAGATACTCCTCAGCCACTTTTGAGTGTCTGAAAGTTTTTGATGTATTGAACGGGTGTCGTGACATGAAGTCCGCAGGATTGTCTTTGCCTGGACTCTATTTAACCGTGAAGTCGTATGGTTGGACTCTCAGACGCCAACGCTCTATCCTGGCTGGAGGTTTGCTCTTTGGATTGTTGAATATCACTTCCAAAGGTTTATGGTCTGTGACGAGCACGAACGGTGATCCACTGAGATATAGGTGAAAATGTTCGCAGCCCCAAACGATTGCCAATGCTTCTTTTTCTGTTTGGCAATATCTCTTTTCAACGTCAGACAGAGATTTACTTGCATATTGTACAATTTTTTCTCCTTGAATGAGCACAGCCCCTAGTCCTACAGGGCTAGCATCTACAATGATCTTTGTCTCTTTCTTTGGGTCAAAGTAGGTCATTGCATCAGTAGTAAGTTTCTTTTTCAATGTCACAAACGCATTTTGCTCAGATTCTGTCCATTTCCATTCTACGTCCTTGTGAGTAAGTGCACGCAGTGGAGCAGTAATTGTCGAGAAATCTTGAATGAACCGTGAAACATAATTTGCAAGTCCAAGTAGACTTCGTATCTCTCCTGGGTTCTTCGGAGGTTCAGCTTCTTTGATTGCCTCAACTTTCTTAGGATCTGGTGATATCCCCTTTTGCGAGAACACATAACCAAAGAATTCAACACTGTCCTTCTCAAATTCACATTTGTTTCGGTTTAGTGTGATATTTCTCTCTCGGAGTCTGTCGAAGACTTGTCGCAGTATTTCGTAATGCGTGGCTTTGTCTTTGGAGAAGACGATAATATCATCGCTGATATTTCTTACACCTTCAATGCCAATAAGACAGTCTCGGATTATCGACTGGAACTTCTAGGGAGCAGAGGATATTCCAAATATCAACCTCTTGTACCGCCTCAAACCAACATGAGTAGTAAATGTCGTGATATAGCGTGATTCCGGTGCGAGTTCGACTTGATGGTATCCTGCATTAAGGTCTAATTTTGAGAATACTGAGGCACCATTGAGATCAACAATAACCTCATCGACGGTAGGTGTAGGGTGGCGTTCTCTTTCTACAGCTTCATTACGTAGCCGCATGTCCACACAAATCCTGATCTCGTCTGGGTTTTTAGGTTTGGGCGCAACAACTATAGGTGAGACCCAAGGGGTTGGGCCGTCTACTCTCTCTATGATGTCTAATTGTTCGAGTCTATCCAATTCAGCTTCTACCTTTTTCCTCATGTGAAAGGGTATTCTCCTATGTGGTTGAGCAACAGCCTGCACATCTTGCTTTATGTGTATTTTTGGTTGTACACCGTTTATCTTGCCTATACCTTCGAATCTATCACTGAATTCTTCCAGTAAGGAGTCAAAATTTCCTTTTGTGGTAGTTATGGCGCGAATGACTGGCATGATTTTCAGTACGACAGCTGTTTCGTAGCTCATCAAACATCCATAACTTCCATCCACAACAAATACTTGAGCTTTCGTTGTTGTTTTGTAATGTTCAGATTCAAATTCAGCGACACAAATTCCAAGAACCGGTAGTGGATTTCCAGAACCATAAGGATAGATCTTGGTAAAGGATTTGGTTAACTTAGACCTTGGCATCGACAGAGATTTGTATGTCGACTCGTCAATAATGTTGACCGTAGCACCCGAGTCTACAATCATCCTAATAGCTGTTTTGTCTAACCGTACATTTGATATTGGTTGACGTTTTCCATCTGTAGCAGCAAATAAGTATCCTTCATCACTGTCCTCTTGTTTTGACTCGACATAACATGTTTTGTCCTTTTGTTTACTTGTGTTTGACTTGCACATCTTTTTAAAATGATTTGGTTTTTGACATAGACTACAAGTCTTTCCTTTAGCTGGACAATCACCTTTGTGTGGGAATACACCTCCACATCTGAAACAGGTTTTTGATGAAGTTTCTTTCCTGTGATACTCAGAAGTTTTCTTTCTTTGGGGCTTCCCCCTACGACTGTGATGTCGATTAGACTTCTCAATTGCGCGAGCATTCTGTTCAGTAGGAGCGTTAGGCCCTTCAATAGCTTCAGCCTGCTTTTCACTTAGTTCTAGAGACCTCGCTAGTTTAATGAGATTATCCAATGTAAGCTCTTCTCTCAAAGCTCGTCGTCTCAAACGTGCAGAGGAACATGACTGTATCACTTGGGATTTTATTTCTCATTCCGTTTCCGTGAATTCACAGTATTCAGCAAGTTTTCTTAACTTTGTGACATACGTGTTGATACCTTCGCCATCACTTTGTTTAGCTTGACGGAACTGATAAATGTCATATTCTTTATTTCTCTTTGGAATAAAGTACGTTTCAAGTGCGGATTTTGCTTGAGAATACACATCATCTACATCTCCTACCTGTACTGCGGCCGTCAGGGTTAATGTTGAGAATATTTCGTGAACATCCTCGCCTGCGTAATGTAATAGTAACGCTTTTCTTCGGGCGAAATCGGTTATATCCATGGCTACCAACAAATTTTCAAGTCTATCAAGCCACTTTTTCCACCTAACAGCCGTTGATCCATCATCGTGGATACTGAAATGTGGGAAATTGGGAAGACTTGCCATTTCTCGTTTGTTTACGTGATAGGCCGGACACGTGGTTTGGGGAAAATGAGAAAAATCCGTATCAGAATGGTTGTTTAGGCGATTCTGTACTATCTAACCTTTACCCATTTTACCCTTATTCTCTGTATCCTCGTCGCCAGTTGTAGGATTTCATGTTGTGATCTACAAACAGGATTAACACTTCTCTGTAGTCTGGAACTTTACTGTATATGCCGCCATATTGCAAGTACAAAAAACAAGTCAATACCTAGACCCCTATTGATACCCCTAGTATCTAATTTATACAAAGGATCCGGAACCGGGTTACAATATCCGGAACTTAATTATAAGATTATCATGGACACTACAGCCACATTTACTAAGACTAAGAAAGGCCATATTTACAAAGACTAAGAAAAGCCACATTTACAAAGACTAAGAAAGGCCACATTTACAAAGACTTAGAAAGGCCACATTTACAAAGACTTGGAAAGGCCACATTTACAAAGACTAAGAAAGGCCACATTTACAAAGACTAAGAAAGGCCACATTTACAAAGACTTGGAAAGGCCACATTTACAAAGACTTGGAAAGGCCACATTTACAAAGACTAAGAAAGGCCACATTTACAAAGACTAAGAAAGGCCACATTTACAAAGACTTAAAAAGGCCACATTTACAAAGACTTGGAAAGGCCTCATTTACAAAGACTTAGAAAGGCCAGATTTACAAAGACTAAGAAAGGCCACATTTACAAAGACTTAGAAAGGCCACATTTACAAAGACTTAGAAAGGCCACATTTACAAAGACTTGGAAAGGCCTCATTTACAAAGACTAAGAAAGGCCACATTTACAAAGACTTAAAAAGGCCACATTTACAAAGACTTAGAAAGGCCACATTTACAAAGACTAAGAAATATCACATTTACAACGACAAAGAAAGGTCACATTTACAAAGATTAAAAAAGGCTAAATTTAGTAAGAATAAGAAAGCCTACATTTACCAAGACTACGAAAGGCTACGTTTACATGTAATTAGAAAAGGAAGGGATAGGCAAATGATGCAAATGTAATGAAAAGATTTCTCAGATTGAACGAAAAAGCCTGTTATACAGTTGTTTTGTCTTTCTCTAATCATACAATGATGCTGTATCCCATACATATGATTCAAAGAAGATTTCAACTTACCAGAAATAACGTTACCTGACTCTAAGCTTTGAATATAAGTAAAGCAGTTTCGTAACATCCGTATTCAACTGATTTACTTAGTCAAACGGATAAGTCAGATACCTATTAGGTATGAAAAACAAAATAACAAATAACAATGTACGTATGTTTTATAGTTATACAAACCTGCGAAGACATCTTACACATTAAAAACAAGAATTGTTTTACTTTCAGAAATAATTCCCTGCATAAAATCTTCAAATAATCTAGCGTCACAGAAGACAGATATCGAGCCTCTGCCCACTGCTGTCTGCGGTATTTCTAAAGAACACACGATACTTGAACAATCATGTGATTTTGAGAATTCTATGTGTGGGTACGAGTCAGAGAACGGTCGGAACGACGATACTGTTCCATGGAAGAGGAGTCACTCAGAAAATGGTATATGGTTACACTGATATTTCTTCAAGACAAGTAATTTGTATTGATTATTGATTACTACAAATTACTGATTGGTTGCTAGAGATCGATTCCAAATTATACTTGCGAAAAGTTGATATTAGTGTCAGTCATTAAACAAATTCGTTTTCTTTTAATTTCCATCAGGCAATAATATTCTTGATTTGATTAATTTTCTGTATGTATATAATACACGTATATACCTAATATCATTTTAGCAAACTTGTCCGTGGTCTTGCGATTAAGTTGTATGGTCAAAAATTTATTGAAAACGCCTTGAGATACATCTTTTATCTATTAACAGGTTACCACATGGCACCAGGTGACATCGTTCTTTCGAATGGTACGAATAGCATTCTGCGGAGTCCTACCATCAACCCAGGCACCGTATGTATTCAGTTTTCTTACATCTGCAGACAACCCAACGCCCATCTGGAGCTACTTGCTCTTAAGAATTCTACAACAAGGTTATGGTTTTCAAAAGGGAGGCAACTCCGAACCAGCAGATGGAGGACCATTGTAGTATCGTTTCACGCTAATAGCCCATTTCAGGTAAGATTATTTTTCTGTGGAGGAGCGTGGGCCAGAGAATGGGAGTGGGAGTTGTGGATGGTGATGGGGTTGGGGGCTGGGGCTGGGTAATTTTAAACAGGCAATGTACGATAATATATACGATGAGGACAAATCTAACAAATCATGACAAAATGTTCAGTATCCGGCGGTATACAACGAATGACAATTATTACTATGGACAGGGTATAATGTAATATTGGTAACTTGAAAAAACACAGCGGAATGCTCTGTCTCTACAACAAAACAGCCGAACGGTTTCTTGAGCTATCTCCTAATTATCGTCAGTCAGTACACTTGTAATTGAGTAGTGTTCAAGCTCTATCATGGGTGTAAGGCTTGCAGTTTGTCTTAAGGAACGAAAACAATAAGAGTACACGTACTCTGTATCCCTTGAGGATGAAGTCCATGTTTTCATTGTTTTTACTGATATCTGTATATTTACTGTAGGTTGGGTTTGTACCTCATGGCCAGATACAGAACAGTAGCCTAGCAATCGATGACGTTATGGTATGGAGCATTAGAAGATATAAACGACATGCAGACTCATCAGCCACAACACCGCTGCCAACTAGGTCAATGACAATGTCAACTGCAGCCTCGAAATTGTTATCAACATCACAAACAACACTGACGAAAACAAAAGCTACCTCGAAAACAAATGTGAAAACAATCACAACCACACCTACCACAACGTCTACCGTAACTTCAACCACAACGCCAACAACTTCGGCAACCTCGACCGTAACCACAAAACCGACCACAACACCGACCGCAACACCAACCACAACCCCGACTACAATACCAACCACAACACCTACCACAACCCCGATCACAACACCTACCACAACCCAAACAACAACACCTACCACAACCACCACAACACCTACAACAACCCCGACCACGACACCAACCAAACCCCCGACCACAACACCAACCAAAGCCCCGACCACAACACCAACCACAACACCAACCACAACCCCGACCACAACACCAACTACAACACCCACCACGACACCAACTACAACACCTACCACAACACCAACCACAACCCCGACTACAATACCAACCACAACACCTACCACAACCCCGACCACAACACCTACCACAACCCAAACAACAACACCTACCACAACCACCCAACACCTACAACAACTCCACCCGACACCAACACCAACAACACCAACCAAACCGACCACAACATCAACCACAACACCTACCACAACCCCGACCACAACACCAACTACAACACCCACCACGACACCAACTACAACACCTACCACAACACCAACCACAACACCTACCCCAACCACAACCCCCACCCCAACACCAACCACAACACCGACCACAACACCAACCACAACACCAACCACAACCCCGACCACAACACCAACCACAACACCTACCACAACCCCGACCACAACGCCAACCACAACACCAACCACAAAACCAACCAAAACACCAACCACAACACAAACCACAACACCTACCACAACCCCAACCACAACCCCCACCCCAACACCAACCACAACCCTGACCACAACCCCGACCACAACACCAACAACAACACCTACCACAACACCAACTACAACACCCACCACAACACCAACTACAACACCAACTACAACGCCTACCACAACCCCAACCACAACACCTACCACAACACCTACCACAACACCTACCACAATCCCGACCACAACGCCAACCACAACACCAACCACAAAACCAACCACAACACCTACCACAACCCCAACCACAACCCCCACCACAACACCAACCACAACCCCGACCACAACACCAACCACAACACCAACCACAACCCCAACCACAACGCCAACCACAACACCTACCACAACCCCGACTACGACACAAACCACAACACTAACCACAACACCAACCACAACACCAACCACAACCCCGACCACAACGCCTACCACAACCCCGACCACAACGCCAACCACATCACCAACCACAACACCAACCACAACCCCGACCACAACACCAACCACAACACCTACTACAACCCCAACCACAACACCTACAACAACACCTACCACAAAACCAACCACAACACCCACCACTACACCTACCACAACACCTACAACAACACCAACCACAACACCAACCACAACACCCACCACTACTATTACCACAACACCAACCACAACACCAACCACAACACCTACCACAACACCTACAACAACACCATCTACAACACCAACCACAACACCTACCACAACAACAACCACAACACCTACAACAACACCAACCACAACACCAACAACAACACCTAAAACAACACCAACCACAACACTAACCACAACACCCACCACTACACCTACCACAACACCAACCACAACACCTACCACAACACATACAACAACACCTACAACAACACCTACAACAACATCAGCTACAACACCTACAACAACACCAACCACAACACCTACCACAACACCTACAACAACACCTACAACAACACCAACAACAACACCTACAACAACACATACAACAACACAAACAACAACACATACAACAACACAAACAACAACACCAACCACAACACCTACCACAACACATACCACAACACCAACCACAACACCCACCACTACATCTACCACAACACCTACCACAACACCAACCACAACACCAACCACAACACCTACCACAACACCTACAACAACACCTACAACAACACCAACCACAACACCTACAACAACACCTACAACAACACCAACCACAACACCAACCACAACACCTACCACAACACCAATCACAACACCAACCACAACACCTACCACAACACCTACAACAACACCTACAACAACACCTACAACAACACCAACCACAACCCCAACCACAACCACGACCACAACACCAACCACAACACCTACCACAACACTGACCCAAACACCAACCACAACACTTACCACAAAACCAACCACAACACCAACCACAACCCCGACCACAACACCAACCACAACACCTACCACAACACCTACCACAACACCGACCACAACACCAACCACAACACCTACCACAACCCCAACCACAACACCAACAACACCACCAACCACAACCCCGACTGCAACCACGACCACAACACCAACCTCAATCACAACTCAAACCATAACACCAACCACAACCCAAGCCACAACCACAACCCAAACCACAACGCCAACCACAACCCCGACCGCAACCACGACTACAACACCAACCACAACACCTACCACAACACCCACCACAACCCCGACCACAACCCCGACCACAACTCTAAACACATTCCCGACCACAGTACCAACAACTACCAAGACACCAATGCCGTCGTTAACAACAAACCCGACCAAAACGACTACCACTACAGACACCACCACAACGATAATGTTACCAACAACAAGACCTACAACTCTGAAAACAAAACCATTGACGAAGTCAACCAAAACTAAACCTAAATCGCCGTCGACATCTCCAATTACAATAGTAACAGCAAGCCCTAAAACAAAGCAAACCAAACTCCCAGTTACAACGTTATCGAAATTCCCGACTGCAACACAAACAACATATTCAGAAACAAAATCAGCCACATCCCCAATTACGTCGCCGCTGACCTCGACAACAAATCTGATGACAACAACTAAACCACCATCTGTCACCTCTGATATCACTCGGACTACATCTAAGCCAACATCACTAGTTGCTTCAACTTTGATTGCTAACAAAACAACAGTAAATACGTCAACAACAACAAGAACAACATCATCAACAACAACAACAACCCCGACAAAAGTTCAAACATCTCCATCTGATTTATCGACGTATAATTATTTTATAACAACACAGTTCGACAATAATGCTACAGGGATTACTGACAGCATGAATATTTCAACAGGTGCTGTTGTAAATCCATTAAAACACAATTCTGACAAACCAAGAGTAATGCCTATCGTAATTGGAGTTCTCGTTGGTTTTTTCGTTGTCGCTGCTATATGTGTCATTGCGCTGTTTATATACCTTCGTCAACGCCGACAACTTTCGAGGCAGTATATACTTAACGACGTCAACGTTAACGTGAACATGGGTCCTGGCGATCAAGGCAATTTGTATGTGTACGATATGCATAACACGTATGAGCAAATAAAATTGGAATACTTAGCAGAAAATGGAAGAAAACAGGATGCTTAGATTTTAATTATTTACTGAGTCTATGAACAAGATAGATGACTATATATATGTATGCTAAAGCTTACGTGGAAGTTTATGTTCAGAAGCCACAAGAAGATACAACCAATGAGATGGTTCTATTGTGGAGGAGGCGCGATAATCCATATATACAGATTCAGTCAATATGCATTTCCAAAGTAATTACATTTATACAATAAACAAGTTGTTTTACCGAAGAGAAGATTACATCATGCAGTAATCGGCTGGTCCGATTAAAAGTAAAGAATAGGATACGAAGTCGAGATACAAAAGCACGTGCGTTATCTTGTCTAATTCCGTAAGGGCGAATTATTCCGATACACTGTATGTATACGCGAGGATACACTTTGTGTATACGTGGAGATACACTGTATGTATACGCGAGGATACACTTTGTGTATACGTGGAGATACACTTTATGTGTACGACAGGATAAATGGAATATAATTGTGTGTAAAATGTTTGTGTGTAAGTGTATAAAATGTATGTGCATAGTACACATCATTTATATTAGATTTGAATTTAAAACATATATTTCTGTTTAGTCCATTCTTTAATTCGGCTGGTCCGACCCTAGCGATGACATCATCACACATTGTCCGATTAATGTCTCATTGTTTAAATTTGATTGGTTGGTTGGGGTTTGAAGTGCATTATGAAGGACATATATCCAAACTTTCAAAACCTAAATCATATATGTAAACCATTACATGTAGAACTGATAGATATACAGGTAGATTATTCTTGATTAGATGTGCAATGTAGTACTATCTTTTATAACGGTGCATTACAATGGAAAATGATTTTACTGATAGTGTTAATGGTACACCAATATGAATGTGCCGTGATAGATGTTGGATAAAATATATAGTTTTACCAGTATGTTTTATATTGTTTATAGAATATCTATATAGGAATATTTCATAAAATATCATGTAACCGATTCTGTATGTATCGATATAAGTATACATAGTCTTAAATGACTCCCCATTATATGAAATTTTATGAAACGAGTTTTGAAAGTTTTGGGTTTTTTTCTTAATTCAATTTTTTTTTTATTTTTTGAGACTTGCAGAGCAAAACTTGAAAAGTTGAGACGAGTTTTACAAAACAAAAAAAAAAAAAAAAAAAACAAAAAAACAAAAAACAAAAACAAAAACAAAAAAAAAACATATAACTTATTTTCCAATGTTTTTAAGTAAAAACGTGGTAGACGATATTAAACGGAGGCAGACACATTTTTGCTCCATTTCCAGTTCATGACATTATGTAATTGTCCATATTATGACATCACAATCGATATCTGATTGGCACAGCCAATGAAAGAGACGATATAGGGTAAATTATGCTAATGAAGGATGATATGTTTATTATGTAATAAAATGTTGTAATGTATAATCATTGATGCATCGATATATAAACACTGATATGTTTTATCGAAAGTTTTAAGGAAGCAGCTGACTCTCTAAGCATCTTTATACACTATACAATAAGTTCGTCGTTGAAAGAATCGTATTTAGTTTATTTACTTATATGGATAATAGTTTTACGATATTTATTTATGTATATAAATTACCAGATAGTCCTTCAATGTCATGTAACACCATGTCAGTATACTTGTATAACAGTGGTATTAATGCCAGCAGCTTCTATAGATACATGTGTATATACAAAATCTTTTCATGTCGCCTATTTGTAAGCTTTAACGCTTGTCAATACTCATAAACTAGATCAAATGATATGCAGAGCATCATTATGACCAATAAAACGAAGCCAATTAAGCGAAATATGTGTTGTTGATATTTTATCATACGTTCAAAACGCCACACAAATAAATATAGATGATAAGCACAAAGAGATATCATATTTCAAATATCGTGTTTACATTCTATTTTCTCCAACATGTGTATGTATTTGTTGTTAAATTTCATCACTATATAACATCAAGGTGTTCTAGATTCGATGTGTGTGTATGTCCATGGAAGAGTAGTTGATATACAAGTAAGCCCCAAACTTTCAATTTATTATTGGATTTTTCTTCGAGTTATCCCCCCTTACCCTGCAAGTCGACAACTATGTACGCCAACTAAAATGATTGAGATAAAAATTATATCGTTTTTGGAACAGCTGATGTTCGTTGATAAAGAATCTCCTTCCCATAGCTGGTAGCTACATCGATGGACATCATGCGGGAGGCCCACGAGATTCAGGGCAATGATGGAGTTATGGTATATGATTGTTTGATTACGTCACAGCTTATTTATCATTAAAGTATACATTATAATGCTTCCTCTGCTGTTGGCCAAACTAAAATTTGACGACACATGTAATTTATCAGTATTTTTACAAATCCTTTAAACCAAACTGTGTCTCAAAAAATATGAAAAATATCAAACAACTGGTATATGTTTCCACGTTTTGTTTCTCTATAAGTTTATTATCTATTGAAGTCGAAGTTTTCATAATGAGGTTGGAAGGAGGACAGGTCGTGTGTGAGTGTGTGAGTGAAGAGAGGTGGGAGGTTGTTGGTAATAGACCCCAAGTCTACGTGTTCAGTTTCATTGACATAAAACCAAGTGACAAGCTCTGAAATCTTTTAGAATGAGAGAAGTTTGCATATAGTTCAAATCACGTTGTGATGGACACACAGCAACATAGAGAAGATGTGTAAGTACATGCATAAGCATTGAATTGTCTTTTTGTGTCATTTATGGCCACATAAAAGGCAAATTTTGAGCGCAAGGTAATGTTTTCCTGCAAAGTTCATTTATATCGATCACTCTTGCCATATGAATTCAATAGAATAAAAGTTCTTATAACACAACCGGTAGAACATTTGAGTATTGCGCTTTGATGACACGGTTACCTTCGTCAGACAAATGACCAGTGTGGAGCGTACTAGCACTGCCGTACGAGGTGTTCGAGATGGTAAGGAATCGATCAACGTTTTCGGCTGCACTATAATCCTATGTACACTAAGGTCGAAAATAGTGTGACGAGATGGTAAGGAATCGGTCAAGTAGTAGTGTAGTCAATTCGGCAATGCTTTATTTAACACTCGTTGCATATCTTTGACCAGGCACCTGAATAGGTTGTTTTTCTTTATAGTCGATATAGGTTTTTTTCCCATTCAAATGTTGTGATGTTATTGTGTAAAATGATCTGTAGGTGCCAATGTATTGATCTGTCGATGATAATCATTATGACGGGCCCCGAATATATGATGCTTCATAATTCCGATTTCGCAAACACCTTCTAGGACGTTCTCTGTAAGTGTTTTATCCTCAGAATGGACTTGGAGAGTCTTGTGAGGTTTCATGACTGTTCCAATACCATAAATAATTACTACTTGTCCTTTCGTTTTGTTCTTTTCCTTGGGGTTTGGTCATTTAGTCTTTTCTCTACTTTCACCAAATGCCTTGTTTACTTACTTACCGTGTAGTCATCAAAATGTCAGATTCAAATCTTCTGTTGGTTTTGTTATAAGAACTCTTATTCCATTGACATAAATCGCCTCATGTGTAATTATAATAAAAGGAAATTAATGATGTAGGTTTTAATGTATACCCCTAAAACCATTCTCACAACTCACTTTTTAAATGAAAATAATTCTGAGCTGACTACGTATCGTTTTTATTCCGACTTTAAAGCAACGTCATTGAACGCTTGGATACGATGTAAGTGCCGCTTGTACGGATTTAAAATCGAGCATTTGTATGTGAATATGTATTACAATGTCTGATACACGCTCATATATCTGAGTCGAATGTGAAGAATAATGGGCGTAAAGAAACTAACCGTAGCCTCCAATCCCATTTCATGACGTCTGATTGAATCAGATGTCTATTAACCAGACAATTAGATCTTCATAGTTTCAGTTATTATCAGCTGGAGAAAAGCCCATTTGATTTTTAATAGGCTCGGAACAAAAGATACGAGACTGTTTTTACCTTTCGTAAAAAAAAAACGCATTCCTTCAATTATGACATTTTATAAAACTGCAAACAATTTTGTTTGATTATACATTGCAAATATATATACGAAATTTCATTTATCGATCGTTCTTTAGATTTTCCTTGTTTCCCTTCTGTCATTAGCAGGAATTGTACTTACTGAACCGACGTCGTGCTGGGATTTTCATCTTTAATTGTCAGTGTTTTAATTGTCTGTAACTCCTCGCTGTGTACTTAGAACGTTGAGATTTATGTTTAAATCAGAAAATTTCACATCTAAAAAGAAAAAAAAAAGAAAAAAAGAAAGAATAAATAAAAAAGTATACTGCTGATATGCGACTTTTCTAAAATGTTAAATACATGCGTTCTAATTTCAGTATAATTTTATAAAATGAACAAATGACATTAAAAAGTGTTACGAAGTTGTTGTACCGGTAGAGGATCGGGCATTTCAACCTCAAGTGAAGAAACAGGGCGTGTGGTTTGATCCCTATAGCAACAGGGCCGGCTTCTGCTTGTTGGGGAACTGAGATCTATGTTCTTACATCGATTTCCCGAATGTTGTTCAGTGAGATTACAACCAGCTCTTACAAAGAAACTTCGCCTCAAAATCATCCTTGTTACGGTAGGATTAATAGTAAAATTTCAGCTGTGAATGTAGTTAGGGTCTTTTGTGCAATCGAAAGTGAATAGAAAAGGAATGCATGTAAGATAATTGAATTTTCCTATTGAGTTACTGTTTTTTAAATATCGGCACAGTCATTTCCCTAATGGTCATGCCTCTTGGATTATACAAATCAGTATTAACGTTTGCAATTGTTATTTATCATACATCTACACAAATGCTTTCCACGAATCCTCATCCATTTTAAAAACGCCTTTACTGTATTTTTTCTTCTCATTCTAAAATACGAAATATCACTCTCAAATTCCACAGCATGGCTTGCAAATAATCTTAATGCACTGACATTTTACTGCAGGTAAACGTTAGTACGATTTTGAAAGTACAATGTAGGATCGTATAATTTTTTTTATTGAATTTCAGTATAAAAAGAATCGCAGTAATTACTTTACATTCAAAATAGGTCGCTACGTTATGAATCTAGCAGCTTGTTTCAAAAAATAATTAAAAATCATTAAATTTCAGTAAGATATATATCTGCGGAGCCCGGGAAGGGACATCAGGAAAAAACTGTTAATCCGTGGTCTCGTTTTAGCAATCCGCGGTCTCGGTTTATTAATCTTTGGCATCGGTATAAATAATCCGTGACCTCAGTTTAAGTAATCCGTTGCCTCGGTTTAAGTATTAGTAAACCGAGACCACGGATTACTAACCAAGGCCACGGATTAATAAACCGAGACCATGAATTGCTAAACCGAGGCCACGGATTGCTAAACCGAGGCCTCGGATTTAAGAAAAAAAAAAAAAAAAACTGTGATGTCCCTTCCGGGGCTCCGTATATATCTTCTAGATGCGGGGAAAAATAAAAAAAATGGACTGTTCAGATAAATATCATCAGGTATACTTCTAAACCTCACTGGCACATCCTTAATGAACGCCGATAAAAATCGTGTTCCTTTACGGTGACGTGAAAATGCGTTACCGATATGATATAAAGCGCATTTTGACAGTCTTTTCACATGTGATAATTGTGAACCAATCGTTCCTTATAAATGAAATACACAACTCAATTTGAAATGTTTTACTAAACACTGAACAGAAACCGCGAAAGGAAATCCTGAAGTGTATAATTTGCCAGATCATCCTTGAATATACGTTATAGTGATCTGTCAATCGTAACGACTTCGAAAACTGTTGACATCGAGAGTGTTTAGAAGACGAAGAGAGTAAAGCATTCAATACATGTATAAAGCTCGGTACAGAAAGGCAAACTTTCACAGAATTAAGCGCAGGTGCGTCGGGAGTGTACAAGTATTTATTCCGGTTCGTCTCATTTCTCTTACGCCTACGCGAGCGTAATTTTTACGATTATATCGCGACGTTTTGCTACTTGCGGGGATCAGACACACGTTCTCGGATTTATGTGTCGTGAAGGTATATTGCAACTGGTATAGTTTATTGTCGCACAGACAAATATAATGTTGAACATGATGACATAGATCATGTTTTTATTCCATGCTTCACAAGCAAATAGCTTTACCATTGTCCTTATATATTGTTTCAACTCATATTGAAACATTACTTAAGGAAACCCTGGACAGTGTTTAAAAGATACAGACGGAATTAAAATATTGCTAATGTAACATGACGTCTAATTGTCACTGAGTCCTTGCAGACTATTAAACCCACTTGAAAGGGCTGATGCTTTGGACTAGAACACAATTAGCCATACAAACTCTATGAGAGTTTTTGAGGCATGCCTATGTTAGTCAACAAGAACGCCTCTGATTTCAAGGATACGTGCTGGCCTAATGTCTCTCGTTGTTGCCGAATCCCTCTAAGTTGTGTATGAATTTAAATGTTTAAATGGGAATGCCGTTTTTCGTGGTCTTACACTTTATTCGACTGTTTGAGTTTGGCGTCGACATAGTACCTGATTTCTGTTGAAAAAAAATCGGCAATCTTATTTAAGCGAGTGTTTATATTGAACAATGTGGTATAACAAGTTGAAATACGGCGTTGGAACAACAAGTACTCGTTTCTAGTAATGTAAACACTGTGTGTCAAAAACTGAAATTATTTGATATAAAGAGTATGTGATGTAAACAGTCCTTGATATTTAAATAACACGTAATAAAGTAGATGTGATAAAAACAGTATTAAGTATTAACATATAAATAAAACACTAAACTTTTATATGATATAAACCGTATTTGCTATTAAAAGAATTTTGATATAAGATGTTAAATGTGTATGGTATTAATATCACGTGATATAAAACATATCATATAAGCATTATTGGATGTCAGTAACATATGGTGTAAACGCTGAGCATTTGTGGCTTTTGTTGTCGGGAAATATGAGGTAAAAATCAAGGGAAATATGATAGCTGAGAGTAAACAAAACTTTTCTATTTCCCTACAACCAGTGCCATAAATTGTTTTTACACATACACCCAACCCCACAACACACATCCCCTCTCCCACACGCATAGGCACACACACTCACACACACCACCATGCCCCAAGCACCCACGCACCCACGCACGCACACACAAACACTTCCACACACCCTTACACAAATATTCTAAAAAAATCCAAGTCAACTGAACTATATATTTGATAAACAACCATGTGATTAACTGATTATATTCATAACGAAAGTTCATAATGTCTGGCTTTGTGCGATTTAAAGTTCGGGTTCTTCTCAGTTTCCTTCAGAAATTCCCTGAAACAGGTCACGGTCACTTAAACATTGATTATTTTCTTGGAATTTTTACACCCTTGTTTTTCTTTTCAATATCGTTTATGTTGTTAATCGAAGGGCGACAACTCTCTTGGAATATGACGTTCATTCAGCTTCACTATTAATGGTAAGTGTTCCTGGGAAATATGAATTTTTCCTTTGTAAAGTGATGCTTTTTAAAACAAATTCATGACGTTGATACAAAAATGAGGTGTAATACATTATTATTGTAGCATGTGATAAAGTCCCTACATATTTCATATTTATTTTTTGTCTCTGTGATATAGACACGTGTTAATATATTTAGTTTGATCAGCAGAATCTCAGTACTAGCGACGACTATTTTAATATGTATTATAAACACAATTTTATTATATCAATTCTATGATGTATTTCGAAGTTGTTTATTTTTTTTAAATAAGCACTTCGAGGTAACAAGTTGGTTTTTGCCGACAGTCATAATTCAAGATCATGTTGTTTTCTTATCAACAGTGTATGGTTACATTCACTAAAGCACTCATGTCATTTCATTGTGTTCGTAAGCGCATTCTATTTTTTTTATTTTTTAATTTGATACACTTAATTTCCTGAAGTTTATACATACAGATGAAATTTCATATGCATACGTTTGACATGTGTCACACATAAGGAAAAACAAGAGGATTTATGAATGAGAGTCCTATTTATACGATGTTTTCTATCTTTAATATGTATAATATGTATGATATGTTGTTACTACAATGTAGGTCCGATTTCACTTCAGTATATTTAACTTAACACCGAAATATCATTTTTGTAAAAAAAAAAAAAAAAAATTAAAATCGCAATATTTAAACTCATGATTTAAAAAGAAAGAAACTACTTAAAATAAATCATAGTATTAAACAATCTATAATTGATTTTAAAATTAGATAGAGGAGTTATGCAAACGCGGTGTAATATGAAATGATATTTTCAAGTGCGGTAAGTTGACTGTTAGTGTAGCGATCTTGTCCTGTCTACGGAAGGCGGTAAACGGGTTTGGCTCGCTCTCCAGTCTAAGACCTGACACTAATGTTGCGGTATCAATCATTTTTATGGACTACTTCAATGGGTTTGTGTTATGAACATGTGCAGATTTCTATAGGGCTCCATCTCTCTATGTCTTTTTGGACCTACATTAACGCCAGAAAACACATAGCTACGATAACGCATTCTCAAAGAAAAATCCCCTGAACAACATATTTAATAATTACATGTAAATTTAATGTCCGTTGAGCAAGAATCATGTGATAAAATCGACTGAGAAATGGCCTCTAGTTCAATGAAATGACAGAATATTTGTTCAAGCGGTATAATATTTAAGATAGTTTCTCTCTGTAGACGTTACACTGATACAGACGTACAAACCATTAAGTTAATATTTCCGTTTCTAAATGTACACTCTACACAACACAAGCTTACAACACACTACATTTAACGGCGTGAGGTGATCTTTAGGCTATAGAGTCCACAACTTCCAATCATCGCAACAAATTAAGTATTCCGCATCTTCAAGACGCTTGATGTTACCAAACTGAGCATGCGTGAAAACTAGTTTGTGAAGGAAGAGAGTCCTTGCAACAGGGTTATGCCTCAAATGATTACAACTTGGAGCTGCTGGCCCGTCGGTCCATGGTTTGAAAATAAAATGAAGAAAAAAAATGTAGAACAGTTGTATAAAAATGATAATAGCTAAAAAGAGAGATTTTAACCCATTAAAAAAATTAGTCACCAACTAACTTCACTGAACAACATATGGGAGGTCCGTCGCATGCCATTCAGGGCAATTATAGTAAAATGTCTTGCCTATGGAAACCACTATGCCAATACAGATTGGTAGGGTTTGTAAGTCAACCCTCTAGCGCCATTATTAATTGTTTTCCAATCAATTTGCGCTTTTAGGGGGCGGATATCGTTGTCTTGTGGTGTCGTGGTTGTAATCTAACGGAAGTCTCCGTCTTCCAATTTCTTTGAATAGCATACGACTGACCCCTCACATGAGGGCCATCAGATACAAGAATGTTCCCCATAAAAATGAAACTGATTGTTCATGGGGTGATATATATAAACCCCAAAGCTCCCTACCTAACTGATATACAATTCAGAAGCACTGAAATGGTTCCCCGAGAGTTGCTGCCCATA